CATTATTATTATTATTTTTGTTGTTATAATTATTGTTATTACTACTACTACTACCACGATGTAATAGTAGCGTTAGCAGTAGATTGGTATCGTTGTTGGTATTATTGATGTTATTATTATTATTATTGTAATTATTATTATAATTATCATAATCATGATCCTAACTATTATTAACATTAGAGTTTAGTATTATTATTTTTGTAACCATCATTGATATAATCATAATCAATTACCATATATATATATATATATATATATATATATATATATATATATATATATATATATATATATATATATATATGTGTGTGTGTGTGTGTGTGTATGTATGTATGTATGTATGTATGTATGTATAAATGTATGTGTGTATATATAATGAATATATGATTAATTATATACATAAAATTCGTTATACACACACACACACACACACATAAGTACACTTGTCTGTATATTTATGTGTATAATGTGAGATTGAGAAGGAGGAGGGGGAAAAGAGACAGAGACAAAGAAGTAGAGAGAGAGAGAGAGAGAGAGAGAGAGAGAGAGAGAGAGAGAGAGAGAGAGAGAGAGAGAGAGAAAGACAGAAAGAGCAGAGGGAGAGGGGAGGGGGAGGGGGGTAGACAGAGCAGAGAGACGTGGGCAGAAAGAGAGCTTTGGCACGGGAAGCTCGTCTCCCAGTTGGAGTGTCCATCATTCCCGTCGCGATCCAGGTGGCCAGGCTAGCCCTTGGTTCTTCCGTGCTTGGTTCTTGGTTCTTGGTCCACACTGCTTGGTCCTCGGTTCCCTGTTCTGGCGTTTTGAGTTTAGCGGTTGTCTTGTTTGCTTTTTGGAGGGCTTGGTCTCTTTCTGTTTTTTTTTCGCTTTTTTTTTCTTCTTTCTTTTGTCTGTATGTCTCTGTCTCTCTCTCTTTTTTTCTTTTCTTTTTTTCGATTTTTTCTTCTTTTTTTTAGATTTTTTCCTCTCGCTTTCTCTCTTTTTGATCTCTCGCTTTCTCGTTCTCTCTCTCTTTCTTTCTCTCTTTCTCTTTCTCTTTCTCCCCCCTCCCTCTCTCTCTCCCTCCCCCTCCCCCTCCCCCTCCCTCTCTCTCTCTCCCTCTCCCTCCCTCTCTCCCTCCCTCCCTCTCTCTCTCTCCCTCTCTCTCTCTCTCTCTTTATTTTTATTTTCTTACTTTCTCGTTCTCTCTCTCTCTTTCTCTTTCTCTCCCCCTCCCCCCCTCTCTCTCTCTATTCTATCGCTTTCGGGTTCTCGCTCTTTCTCTTTCTCTTCCTTCATTCTTCTTCATCTTATCCACAGACGTGAATCTACCATTCGACTCTATATCATGTCTAGCCAAAGCCTTAGACCTGGAACGGTTCTGTCGCCCATTTTTTTTCCTCCTTTTTGTTCAGATCTTAGGATACATGGGTGCGTCTTTTTTACAACACGTTAACATTTAAAGGTCATTTTTAGCGTCACTTCGATTTTATTCTTCGAGTGTGAATGGGGCAGGGGAAAGGGGGGAAGGGGGAAGGGGGGTAGATAGAGGTAAGGTAGGTAAGGGTAAAGATGGGGGGTAGGGGGAGGTAAGGGTAAGAATTGGGGGGTAGGGGGAGGTAAGGGTAAGAATGGGGGGTAGGGGGAGGTAAGGGTAAGGATGGGGGGGTAGGGGGAGGTAAGGATGGGGGGTAGGGGGAGGTAAGGGTAAGGATGGGGGGTAGGGGTAGGTAAGGGTAAGAATGGGGGGTAGGGGTAGGTAAGGGTAAGAATGGGGGGTAGGAGGAGGTAAGGGTAAGAATGGGGGGTAGGGGTACGTAAGGGTAGGTCTATGAAATCCAGGTTTATGGTTGGTGCTGGCTATTTTTTATTTTTTTTATTTTTTTTTTTTGGGGGGGGGAGGCGATTCATATTTTGTGTGTATTATTTGTGAATTTTCTGCTTCTAAAGGCACGCGGGGATATGCATGATTATATGATTTTTTTTTGAAGGGGAAGGTAAGCTAGGTATGAAAAGGGAGGTGTCGGGGGTCTGTGTGGGGGGGGGAGGGAGGGGGAGACGAGGCTGTGCATTGTCTAAGAAAAAAAGATAAGAGCAAAGATTGTCGATATGAGAAAGATAAAGTGAGGATACGGATAGGCTGATAAGAGATTGTGGTTGATTTCAGAAGTGATTCAGAAGTATAAATGCCTCTTTTTCTGGCATTTACCTTTATATTGAACTGGGATTATATTTGGTCTTTCCTTCTGCGAGCTTTCTTTTTTTCCTATCTGTATGTTTCTCTTTCTCTGTGTGTATGTTTACCCTCTCTCTCTCTCTCTCTCTATCTTTCTCTTTATCTTTCTCTTTCTCTCTCCCTGTGTTTTCTTTCTCCCTCTCTTTGTTTCTCTTTCTCTCTCTCGTTGTTTCTCTTTCTCCTTCTCTGTTTCTCCTTCTCTCTCTCTTTATTTATCTTCCTTTCTCTCTATTCTCCCCTCCCTCTTCCTCTCCCTTTCCCTCTCTTCCCCTCTTCACGCTGACCCTCTCCTTCCTCTCACCCTCACTCTGCGCCGTGCTCTCTTCCCTCTCCTCCCTCCATCTCCTTCCCTCCCCCCTCCATCTCCTCCTTCCCTCCCCCCCTCCATCTCCTCCTTCCCTCCCCTCCTTTCCCCCCCTCCTTCCCCCCCTCGTCCCCAGTCAAACTATCCAAGCAGACGGCGCCCGAACTCCCTCGAGAGAGAGTGAAAGGCCAAGTTACGCAAGTCTTCCTTTTCTTTGCTGTCGGGATTTCGAGGCGCTGCTCTCTCGCTCTTTCGCTCTCTCGTACTCTCGATCTCTCGTCCTCTCTCTCTCTCTCGCTCCTTCGATCTCTCGTCCTCTCTCTCTTTCTCGCTTTTTCGATCTCTCGTCCTCTCTCTCTCTCTCGCTTTTTCGCTCCTTCGATCTCTCGTCCTCTCTCTCTCTCTCTCTCTCTCTCTCTCTCTCTCTCTCTCTCTCTCTCTCTCTCTCTCTCGCTCTTTCGCTCTTTCGCTCCTTCGATCTCTCGACCTCTCGTACTCTCGCTCTCTCGCTCTCTTGCTCTTTCTGTGTTCACTGGCTTGTTGTGGTTTTTTGTCTTTGTAGTTTTTTTTGGTGATATTTTTTTCTCCCGTCTGTTTATCTGTCCCTCTTTCTCCCCCTCCTCTTCCATCCCTTTCTTTTTGAACTCTCCTTCTTCGTCCCTACTTTCCTCTCTCTTCTTTCTTCCTTCTTTCCTCCCTCCCTCCCCCCCTCCCTCCCTCCCTCCCTCCCTTCATTTCTTCCCTGCCTCGATCCCATTCCCTCCCCCTCCCCGTCTCATTCTTTCCCTTCCTCCCTCCTTCGCTCATACTCTCCCTCCCCTTCCTCCCCCTTCTCCTCCCCTTCCCACCTCCTGCCTCCTTCCCTCCCCTTCCCACCCCTTCTCTCCCCTTCCTTCCCTCCCTTCCCCCCCTCTCCCCTTCCTTCCCTCCCCCCTCTCCCCTTCCTTCCCTCCCCTCCCTCCCTCTGCCCCTCCCCACTTTCTCCCCTTCCCCCTCTTTCCCTTCCCCGACCCCACTCCCACCCCACGTATGTTTCCCCTCACCCCTTCCTACCCCCCTTCCTCTTTTCCCCTCCTTCCCACTCCCTCCCTCACTTACCTTCCCCCCTCCCCCCCATCAACCCCTACTCCCCCTCCCTCTCCCCCTCCCTCTCCCTCTCCCCCTCCCTCTCCCTCTCCCTCTCCCCCTCACCCCCCACACATAGAAATGATATATCATCGCGAAGTGAAAACTGCAGAGGGAAACGGGAGCGTAGTGTCGGAGGGTCGATTATGCCTTGACGCTGGGGTCTCGGCGAGTGTTGGGGGCGGGCGCTGTTGTTGGTGTTGTCGTTGTTATTGTTGTTTTTGTTTTGTTGTTCATGTTGTCGTTGTTGTTGTTCATGTTGTCGTTGTTGTTTTTGTTGTTATTGTTTTTGTTGTTGTTGTTGTAGTTGTCGTTTTTGTTGTTGTTTTTGTCGTCATTGTTATTGTTTTGCTTCTCTTTGGTGTTCTGTTTTCCTTTTTTCATTTTTTATTTGGTGTTGGGATATTTTTGGGTTTGTTTCGGTTCGCTTGGGTGGTGGTGGCGGTGTTGTGGTCTGTTTCTGTAGTTGTGGTTATGTTTTTTTTTTCCTTTCTTTCTTTCTCGCTGGTGTTATTATTGTAATTAAAGTTGTCGTTGTTATGGTTATTACTGTTATTAGTGTTACAACTTCTACTTCCACTCCTGGTCCTTCTCCGCCTACCGCCACCGCCACCACAATCGCCGTCATCAGCACCATCATCATTGCTACTACTGCTGCTGCTTCTGTTACTACTACTACTACTACTACTACTACTACTACTACTACTACTACTACTACTGCTATTACTTCTACTACTACTTCTACTACTACTACTTCTACTACCACTACTTCTACTACTACTACTACTACTACTACTACTACTACTACTACTACTACTACTACTACTACTACTACTACTACTACTACAACAACACTACTACTACTACTACTACAACAACAACAACACTACTACTACAACACTACTACTACTACTAATACAACACTACTACTACTACTACAACACTACTACTACTACTACTACTACTACTACTACTACTACTACACTACTACTACAACACTACTGCTACTACTACAACACTACTACTACTACTACTACACTACTACTGCTACTACTACTACTACTACAACACTACTACTACTACTACTACTACTATTACTTTCATTTTGTTTTTCTTTCTCCACGACGAACTCAAGCACACTTCCACCGTGAGGGAGGGGGAGGGTGGGAGGGAGAGAGAGAGAGAGAGAGAAAGAGAGAGGGAGAGAGAGAGAGAGAGAGAGAGAGGAGGAGGGAGGAGGAGAGTAGGAAAGTGGATGAGGGAGAGAGAGAAAGGGTAGGAAGGTGGGAGGGAAATGAAGGGGGAGAGAGGGAAAGGTGGAGGGAATTGGAAGGAGGGAAGCAGAGGTAGAATGGGGAAATGGACGGAAGGAAGGAGGTACGGGAGGAGAAGGAGAAGAAGAGAATGAGGATGAGAGAGACGAAGTAGAGTTAGATTAAAAGAGTAATGGAGTGAGGAAGGAGGGAGAGAACGAGAGAGGGGAGAGAGAGAGGACAATAACAAGAACGAGAACGAGAATGGACTGGAGAGAGAGAAGAGAGAAATGAGAGAGAGGAGACGGGGGCGAGGGGAGGAAGCGAAGGAGCTGGTGCTTGGCTAGAGTTGGCGCGTCATGGATTGCAAAAGATCTCGCCCTCGCCGCTTCCGGATCGTGCAGCGTCATGGGCGTCGAGCCAAGGGGCGAGGGAACGTAGGAACGAAGGAGTAGGAGGCAAGGAGCGAAGGAAGGAACGTAGGAGGAAGGAGCGAAGGATCGTAGGAGTAGGAGGCAAGGAGCGAAGGAACGTAGGAGCCAATGAACGTAGGAGCGAAGGATCGTTGGAACGTAGGATTCAAGGAGCCATGAAACGCAGAGGAGGATCAAAGGAACGTGAAGCGAAATATTGTAAGGGACAAGGAGTCAGTGAACCCAGGGAACACGTGAGCCAAGGAGCGAAGGAGTGTAGGAACCAAGGAACAGAGAAATCAAGAAATCCAAGCAGAAAAAAAGAAGAAAAAACAACAACAACAACAACAACAACGACAAACACGTCTAAAGGATTTTTTTGACTCCAGTATATTGAGCCAAACACTTACATTTGCATTTCAAAGGAGATGAAGTAACGTAGCCCAGGAACCAAGGAACGAGAGAGAGGGAGAGAGAGAAAGACACAGACAGACAGACACAGACAGAAATTGAGTGAGAGAGAGAGAGAAAGAGTTAAATAGAGAGAAAGAGAAAGAGTTAAATAGAGAGAAAGAGAGAGAGAGAGAGAGAGAGAGAGAGAGAGAGAGAGAGAGAGCAGAAAGAACTTGGCTTTTACTTCGACTCGTCCGGTCGTCTGAGATTAATCTTGAGTGGATGGGTGGAAGA